ATATCACGTAACGTAAATACGTCATATTTGCAATTTTACACTAAAGAACATCATTCTGTAATTGTTCTACAATTTTAGTTTTTTGCAGATTAGTGAAACTCAGCCCAATTCATTCGTCTAACATGCTCCATTTATATCCACTCATATTACTGAGCCGTTGCCAGATAACCTAATTAGTTGCAAAATGTTCCAGCTGGTTTTTTTTACCACTAATTTATCCAGACTCTTGTTGGCTGTCGTTGTAGTCGTTAAATTCAAAATGAGCCAATATTTTATCTCAAAATCATTTTCTCAGTTTTAAACATTTGCTAGATTTATTATATGGGTTTATAAGATTTGCGAATCATTGCATCCCATTTTAACTTACATTTTAGAGCATCCCAACTTTCTTTAGAATTTGTTTTGGAGTTTATTACAATGTACACAGTAGATTGCCTCTTTAGGCTACACAGGTTTCTGTTTTTGAGCGGTGCCGTCCTTGCTCCACAAGGATAGTCAGTTGTGGTCGAATCAATGTTTTAAAACGTTTGTGGATTAGTTCCTGGATTTGGACAATGACTTACTTGAGATGGGAAGGAGTTGAGGAAGTCAATTAGCTGGAAGCCAGAGTCCTGGATAGCCAGAGCAGCTTGTCTGATCACAAGGTGCAAAGACCTCTGGGATTCTTTCAGCAGAGCATTGAGCCACACCTCCACGTTCCCTTCAGCTGTGACGGGACGGTCCAGCTCCACAGTCTCTCCCTCGCGTGATGACACGGCCAGAATGCGGTCATATATCTGTGAAAGGCAACATTGATTAGATCGATTATTATAACTACAATGATGAAGTTATTTTTCTTATAAAAAGTATATATATAAAATCGACATTACTCTGATTAGTTTATTCAATTTGACATTAAAGCAGCTATTATATTTTATTACTTTCATGTTACAATCACGTATTTTCCTGAGCTTTTAGTTCTGCAAAAATCTCTTGTCAGAAGGGTAAGTGTTTAAGATAAACACCAAAAAAGGAACATAATCCACCTTTTCATGAAACTGGACACACTTGATATTGTCAAAGACATTGAGAAGGTGGGCCTGGATGGTGTGGGAGTCAGAGGCCTGGCCCAGGATCTCCAGCAGGGCAGGATCAGAGACAAAGAAGAAACGAGGAAACAGCAGACGCTTCTTCTCCAGATA